GGATCTCAGAGAGCATTAGCTCAATATTACCAGAGTATCAAATAGGGGTGTGTGAGAAGAAATGGTGGGAAATGATAATACAATATATTTTACTGAGCATTTACTATATAGTAAGCACTGTATTAAGTACATTTCATCCTCAAAACCCTATGTAATTATTAGCTCCTATTTTACAAACCAGGAAATGGAAGTTTAGAGAAGTTAAGTAACCTGCTCAAACATAAAAGCTAGGTAGAGGCCAGCTCACAAAAAGAAAAAGTTTTCTTTTCTGTTTTATCCTCACCCAAGGACATTTTTCCATTTTTTGTTCAGATAGAGTGGGAGGGAGAGAGAGGAAGAGAGAGAGCGCGAGAAACAAACATCAATATGAAAGGGACTCATCGACTGGCTGCCACCCGCACGACCAACCAGGGCTGGAGACAAACTGCAACCGAGGTACGTGCTCTTAGCGGGAACCGAACCTGGGTCTCTCTGGACCGCAGGCCGACGCTCTAACGGCTGAGCCAAACCGGCCAGGGCCAAAAAGTGTTTTCTATACATTATGCAATAGTTTTGGTGTTATCCACCATGCTAGAGTTAAATTACCAATACAAAGTATGTCACAAAGAATTTATGGAGAATACAAATGACTGAAAAAGAAAAGTACAAGTCCAGAGATTTCTATGGGCTGAGGGTTAAGAAGGCTGTATGCAGAAAGTGGAATTGAGCCCAGCCGGTGTGGCTCAGTGGTTGAGCATCAACCCATGCACCAAGAGGTAACGGGTTCGATTCCCTGTCAGGCACACATGCCCAGGTTGTGAGCCTGATCCCCAGAGTGGGGCATGCAGGAGGCGGCCAACCGATGTTCTCTCTCATCAATGTTTTTATCTCTCTCTCCCTCTCCCTTTCTCTCTCTCTAAAATCAACAAAGAAAAAAATGGAATTGAGCTGGGCTGTAGTAGAGGGAAGGACCAGACAGAGAATAGACTGTGAGCTATGACTTTGGCATAATGAGAAGTCTGAGGAGGCCAATATGGCAGATGACAGTACAGTTAGAAAAACAGGAGTGATTAGGAAAGAAGAGAAAATTAAGGACAGATCTGAGAGGTCCTAGGAGCCAAACGAGCTGTACTTCCCACTGGCAGGAGGTAGCCCCTCTGCAGTTTTGAGCAGAATGGTGAGCTAAGGATGAGCCCAAGTGACTCTCACAAGAGAAGAGAGGTTGCTGGGGATGGTCTACAAACAAGATGATGCGGGCCTCCATGAGCAGGTTATTACATGGCCGGACTGGAACAAAAGGCATGGAAGGCAGACTAGCAGAGTGACTAAGAGTATATAGGCTGTGAAATCAGACTAATCTGGGTTCCAACCTGACTTTTTAGAGCCTCCAGGTTACTAGTAAGTGGGAATAATACCATCTAATTTACTTGATTGTTGTCAGGTTTAGATAAAATGACAATGTGTGTGAAGTGAACTATTCAAACAGCAGACTATATCCAGTGCTTCAAATCTCCTAAACCTATTAACATCCGGTATGCAATGATGCACCTCAGTGCAAGCCCTACATCACTCCTTTCCACATTCAGAAAACACTGAGCACCAACTACAAGGCAGACAATAACAATTCCTCCTCCATGAAGTCATCTCTGACGAGCCCAGCCTGAACCATCGCCTTTTCTGAACTCTCAATCATTCTGGTTCCTACCATTCATTTTAGCAATTACTCTTACTCATACACAATTCTGAATCAACTCTTCATGGTTTTCTCTCCCATAAAACTTATTCGTCATAAGGGACAGAAAATGGTATGATATACCATGCTTAATAAGGATTGTAAATAAAAAGAGGGTCCTTGGTTTTACCTCAGAGCTCAGCTCCCTAATCATCACATCTATTTTATAACGTATCGCTTGATATAGTACTGGTTTTCAAACCATTTCTTTTTTGTTTTTTCTCCTCACCCAAGGACATTTTTGCATTTATCTTCAGATAGAGCAGGAGGGAGAGAGGGGGGAAGAGAGAGAGAGAAACATCGATGCGAGAGGGACACATCGACTGGTTGCCACCCACATGACCCTAACCGGTGCTGGGGACAAACTGCAACCAAAGTACGTGCCCTTAGCGGGAACCGAACCCGGGTCTCTCTGGTTCATGGGCCGACGCTCTAACCACTGAGAAAAACTGGCCAGGGCTCAAACCATTTCTCAACAGCAATCTTTAAACAAATAAAATCAAAACATAATATTGCTAAAAGCAGATCAGCTCTGGTTAAAATGAGAGTGAGGTCTGAAATACCAACCTGATGTCTTCCTTACTCTATCTAGAACTAGTTTTGAAAACCTATGGATTTGTAAGCAGAGCACTGTCAGGAGACCCCAAACTCTGACACAAACATGGCTACCTAATTTATTTGATCTCTTTCCTCCATCTGCTCTCCAAAAGGCCATCTAGTTATACTCCCTAGACAGGAAAGTTCCAGGAAATGTCTTGAATGCAGAGGAAGAATTTTTTAAAGCCAGAGTTCCTGGGCAATGCTCACACCAAGAGTGTACAACTTGCTAGAGCCACATTTTTCCTTTTCCTTTTAATAAGCCTCGAACTTCTGAAAGCAAAGCTAAAATAACGCCTGGAGCAATTAGAAGAGAAGCTGGAACAAAGAGGCATTCTAAGTGGCTTGTTAAAATTCTGTAAAGAGCAGTCCTTACAAGATGCTTCCTTATATTCATTATCAGTCAAATCTGATTGTACAAAAATTCTATCAACATTAGGACTCATCTTTTTGTTGCTAAAGTAAATCCAGACAAGAGCAATGGGCCCAGTGTAGGCACTGCATCAGCAGCGAATTCGAATTTTTCAGCATTCAGTACCAACAGAAAGGAGTCAGTTAGGTCTGAGATAAGTGAAAACAGAAGTTGCCATAGTAACTTGCACATTTACCCTAAAAAGGCCGGACTGGGGATGGGGCAGGAAAGTAGGTCAATATTTCTGCCTAATTAGCTCTAGTTCTTGGCTTTCTCTCCTCATCTAAAGCAGCATCCTCCTGCCTCCCCACCCCCAATAAGAGAAAAAGGGGGGAAATCAGGGATAGTCACTCCTTCAAAAAGCAAGGGGTAAGGAGAGGTCCAGGCAGAAGGAAGGAGAACCAAGAGGACAGCCTACTAAAAACCTCATGAGTGCCCTGGGACTACCCCTGGGAAAGCAGCTACTGATCAAGGACACCAGTGGTAAGAAACTGTTGCTGGGTTACCACAAATCAGAAATTGCCATTTTCTCTGTAGCAGATTAAGTGCACCTAATGGAACACTTGGGAATGCATTATTAACAGCTTTCGTTTGGGATAGTGCTGGGGAGGGATGCGTACTCTACCATGGAAGAAACCTAAGGCCCTTAGCAAGAGGCATTCTTTGATGGTTGAAACTATGAACAGGGTTCAAGGATGGTTTGAAAGGCAGGGAGGGAAGCTTAGAAGGTTCCTTTTCAAAATAAGCTGATTTTGATAACACAGAAACGTAGTGCCCTTTGATACTTTGGTCTGAAATAGCTACTAATCCAAGAAGGTGAGGGCAACTGGTCACTGAGATGGTGTGAAGAGTGCCATTGCTCGTTATCAGCTCTTCCATCCCGCAGTGCCAATAAAGGTGGGAAGCAAGTGAAATAGAAAGCATTTGCAAACAGGCGCAGTTCCACTTTCCTGCAGCTACTAGTGTCTGCACAGGAATAACCCAAGGCATTACTAATGATTCAACAATTTGGTGTGAAAGCCCTGGCATTCTGAAAGTTGAAAGATAAAGGAGGGAGGTCCAAAATGCAGAAATATCTTTGTAACCAGTGACTATTTCAAACTCTAACCTCTAGATACCCTGATACAGTCATTGCACAGCGGTGAGTCTATGCTTCCATGGGACAGGCCATTCAAGCTTGACTGGGAAACTAATTTCAACCCAGAAGCACACCTAGTTGCAGAATATTAGAAAGGACAGGCCCAGTTTCAAATTTGAGCTCATGTATTCAGAAACATCTGCAAGTTGTCCCCTTGTAAGGACTTCTGCACATGTTTCCACTCCAATGCCTTATGAGAGGAGAGAAAGAGGCTCATAGACACAGCAACATTTAAGATGACTTTAGAGACCACGAGCAGCCAAGGCCTTTGGAGAGGAGCTCTGAGAACGATCCTATTGCATGGGCAAGGGATTAGAAATATGCAGGACCAGGTACTAGGCTTCCATCAATACTATGGGTAGGAGAAGCACAGGGAGAGCAAAATGTACACAAACTCAAGGCAAGATGCTATTGGCAACAATAAGCTAACAATTCTGAAGAGAGAAATGTGAGAACAAACAGATGCTATCTGTGATGACTTCTCTGCACAGCCCAGAAAATGTATTCAGTCTCGCCAATTTGTAAGTATTTTTCTTTAACATAAAACGTTCTATTACAGAAAAAAAATTCAAGCTCAAGCATACACAAAGTAGAGAGAATAGGATAATGAGCTATCACGGAGCTTCAACAATGATCAATATTCTAGTACTAACCTTAAAGTCAAGATAGGGATCACTCTGTGAAGGGTTCTACGTGTTACACAACAAAAGCCTGCAACCCCAAACGGCAAATTTCCATATTCAACCAGGAACCTCAGTGGAGAGCTACTCTAGGAAAGCAGGTGAGTAAAGGAAAACAGATTTCCACTTTCTTTCTTGAGAAACGTCCAGCAGAATAATTATACCTCAAGTTGTTTCTACGAGTTATGTTATCTGAATTTTTAATTCCTTAAAGGTGCATATCCAATTCATTTATGTTTACTGAGCAAGAATCACCGCCTTGCACCAAACCACAAGAAAGGCTCCACAGTCACCACAGCTAGCCTTCCAGGACTGTCATATCTACAACCACTTTCCGTTCTGACGCAAGCATATGGAGCAAAGTTCAGGGAAACCGGACAGTACAGATTTAGTTCATTTATGATCTACTAAAACCCACCACGCACTGGCATTTGAAGAAGCGAAAGCAAGGTCTCTACTTACTGGTACTGTTACATCATCATAAAAACTCCAAGCTAAGGCCCATCTCATTGTCCGACCTTGACAGAATTCAGTGTGGGTGACTTTAGGAACCTGAAACCAACAAACACAGCAGCTCATTAAACTGAAGTCTTCTGGATACTGTCTCATGTAAAATTGTGTGTTGGTCTTTCTTCTTATCAGTTAACAAACATTAATATCCAAAAACAATTGCGCATAGTGGCCTAATAAGCAATGAATAAATTATCTCTCAACAAAATTGTGGGGATTTTTTTTCCTTCCCATAAAACATCAGAAAAAATTTATACTTCTGGCTTGAGATCCAAACACTCAAAACACAGCTCTTCAAATAAGCACTGGTAAAATGATTCGAATGGATTTTTGTTTTCTTTTTGTAAGAAAAAAAAAGCCAACAAATGGCCAGACGCACCTATCCAGTCTTTCTTTTGTCTATCAGATTTTAAGAAAGAAAATGAAACTACTTTATAGCAGTTATAACTTTAACAAACAAAGAAAAAAAAGTATGGTAGGGAACATAGGAAAAGTAGAATGTCAGAGAGAAACCAGAAATCAGAAATTTGGCTTCTACCATTGACCCCACATCTGATCTCCTTCTTTGAAAAGTCATCCTGCTCAGGCTTAATCATGCCAAAACACCATAAACTGGTAGGGGTGATAGGATGGGGGGGAGGGTATTTATTCACCGCCTGCTTTTCCAAACAGAAGCAAGGAGTTGAACCCTATGGATCGCCATACAGGGAAACAAACTGCACTGAGGATCATTCTGGTTCAAGCTGTTCTTTGATAACTAGACGAGTAACCCAGAACAAGTCTCTTAATGTATATAGCCTTGAGTTTCCCAAATTATAAAGGAGTCAGGTGTGGTAGGCAGACACCAGGTTTTCTTATTTCTGGTTTCTGACATTCTACTCATCCTGTTTCTTACCTTTTCTTTGTTATAAGTAATTGTCAAACAAGGCTTTATTTTAAAAAACTCATTTAGAGATTAAAAGTATAAAGGAAAGTTCTATACTCCAACTACCATCAAAATTAGACACACAAAAACAGTAACTGCAAAGGCTTACCCCTTGTATGCGAAGTTCTTCCTTCAGAGGAGCAAGGCTGCATTTCTTTCCCAGCATACAGCTGTACCACCTAGGGAAAAAATCAGAAAAGTGAAACACTGTTTATGTGGTTACATGATTTTTGTTTGTTTTTAAATCCTCACCTGAGAATATGTTTATTGATTTGAGAGACGGAGAAAGTATACCCTGACTGGGAATCAAACCTGCAACCTTGGTGTATAGGACAGCACTCCAACCAACTGAGCCACCCAGTCAGGGCTATGTGGTTACATTTCTTAATAAAGCATTATTCAAATGAACAAGATGAGAACAGTAGTAAAGAAATACTGAGTTAAGTTACAAGTGACAATACCAAGAATTGTATATAATGTATTTAGACAAAGAACAAATATAGTCAAGGAAAATAAGCACAAAGCAACCAGACATTGAACCTACAACCCAGGTATACGCCCTGACTGGGAATCGAATATCCAATTTTCTGGTGTATGGAACTATGGTCCAAACAACTGAACCACCTGGCCGGGGCAGTCCAACACTCTTTTAAAGAAATACAATGAGCCCTGGCCGGGTTTGCTCAGTGGTTAGAGAGTTGGCCCGCAGTCCAGAGAGACCCGGGTTTGGTTCCCGCTAAGGGCACGTACCTTGGTTGCAGTTTGTCCCCAGCCCTGGTTGGGTCATGCGGGTGGCAACCACTTGATGTGTCCCTTTCATGTAGATGTTTCTCTCTCTCTCCCTCCCATTCTATCTGAACAAAAAATGGAAAAATGTCCTCAGGTGAGGATAAAAAAAAAAAAAAAATACAATGAAACACAGCATCCCAAAACATAAGATTTCCAGTATCTAGCATCCAGTAAAAAATTACCAGACATTAAAAGAAGCAGTAAACTCTATAAGTAAACACTCCGCGCGGTGAAAAAAAAAAAAGAAGCAGTAAAATAACTCACAACCAGGATTAAAAAATCAACCATTAGAAACAGACCAAGACTTACTTCATTTAGCATAAAACCTTGAGGTCCACCCACGTTGTTGCCAATGGCAAGACTTCATTCTTTTTACGGCTGAATAATATTCCATTATACATCACATCTTTAGTTTGCGTATCAAAGGCATGCTCAATCTGCGTCCTTTGCTATCTCTAAAACTTGGCTAGCCCAGGGAGGGGCAGTCTCTCTCCACCAACTAATATTTGCAAGGTGTCAAAATATCATAATATAGCCCTGGCCAGTTTGGCTCAGCGGTTAGAGTGTCGGCCTGCGGTCCTGAGACCCGGGTTCGGTTTCCGCTAAGGGCGCGTACCTCGGTTGCAGTTTGTCCCCGGCCCTGGTCGGTTGTGCGGGTGGCAGCCACTCGATGTGTCCCTTTCACGTCGATGTTTCTCTCTCTCTCTCTCTGTTCCTCTCTCTCCCTCCCACTCTACCTGAACAAAAAAAAAAAAAAAAAAAAAAGGAAAAATGTCCTCGGGTGAGGATTAAAAAAATCATAATATATAGAATATTTACAAAGCCAGACATAATAACCTACATTCTATATGATTCCACTTATATGAAAATCTAGAAGAGGCAAAAACTATTTGATAGAATGATCAGTGGTCACTGGACGCTGGGATGGGTGGGGACAGACTTGAAAGAAGCACTAGGGAACTTTTTAGGGTGATAGAAATATTCTATATCTTGATAGTGGTGGTGGTTACACACACATTTGTCAAAACTCATCAAATTGTACGTTTAAAATTGGAAAATTTTACTGTATGCAAGTTATGCCTCAATAAAACACTTAAATATATAAATTTGTAAATGTGATATATATACCTTCAAACATACAGAAAGAATAGTTAATATAGTAATGTTTCACATATTTTTTTTACAACATTTAGTCACACTAGCAATAGTCAGTCTATATCCTGCGTTCTTCAAAACGTCACAATTACTCCTATGCCATTTGAAATTCATCTAATTATACATTATCTTTTTAAAGACTATAATTTTTTTTCTTTATTGATTTTTAGAGAGAGAAGAAGGGAGAGGGACAGTGAGAACAGAACATTAATAACAGAGAACACTGACTGGCCACCTCCTGCATGGCCTCTACGGGATTTGGCCCACAATCTGGGCATGTGTCTTGACTGGGAATTGAATTGATCACCTCTTGGTGCATGGGTGGACACTCAACCACTAAGCTACACTAGCCAGGCTGTATTATGAATCTTTAAAGATTTAATCTCATCAATATACTTAACTGTTTTCTGTGACAGTTATATTTCTTATAGAAAAAGCAGAGGTAACTGTGTGTATTAAAAATGCTGTGTTGTCCTGGCTGGTTTGGCTCAGCATTTAGAGCTTTGGCCCATGGACCAAAGGGTCTTGGGTTTGATTCCCAGTAGGGGCACGTACCTGGGCTGTAGATTCGATTTGTGGCCCCGGTTGGGGTCACACGGGAGGCAACCAACTGATGTCTCTATCTCATATCATGCCCCACCCCCAATTCTTTCTAAAACTCAATGGAAAAATATCCTCAGGTGAGGATTAACAAACAAACAAAAATTCTGTGTTAATTTCACTTCTAATAGATCCTAGATACTCTCAACAAGCATCCCGTGATAACTAATCAAAATGCAAGTAGAAAAGAATGAACAAAAGGAAGATCCAGTTACCCAAGAGACTTTGAATCTATTATACTGTTTTAATGATGAAAGTAGCACTCTACTCGTTGTAGCATTTAGCAATTCCTCTGAAAGAGGTTTCAAGAAAAAGTATTTTGAGGCCTAACTGGTTTGGCTCAGCGGTTAGAGCGTCGGCCTGCAGTCCAGAGAGGCCCGGGTTCCGTTCCCGCTAAGGGTATGTACCTTGGCTGCAGTTTGTCCCCAGCCCTGGTTGGGTCATGCGGGTGGCAACCACTCAATGTGTCCCTTTCACATCGATGTTTCTCTCTCTCTCTCTCTTCCTCTCTCTCCCTCCCACTCTATCTGAACAAAAAATGGAAAAAATGTCCTTGAATGAGGATTAAAAAAAAAAAAGTATTTTGAGCCCTGGCTTGTGTGGCTTAGATGGCTGAGCTGTGTTCTGTGCACCAAGGGGTCAAAGGTTCAATTAAGGTCAGGACACATGCCTAGATTTCAGGCTCCATCCCCAGCAGGGGATGCTTCTTGCTCTCTCCCCCTCTCCTCCTTCTCTCTCTAAAATCAATAAAAACATATTTTTTAAAAATTACTATCTTAAAAAATAAAGAAAGAAAAAGTATTTCAGAGCGTTGACCCATGCACCAAAGGGCTGCAGGTTCAATTCCCAGTCAAGGGCACATGCAGGAGGGAACCAATCGCTGTGTCCATCACTCTAACATCAATGTCTCTGTCTCTGTCTGTCTCTGTCTCTCTCTCCCTCCCTCCCGCCCTCTCTAAAAAATCACTGGGAAAAAATATTTTCGGGTGAGGATTAACAAAAAATAATAATAAAAGATTGTCTAACCAGAAGTCTAATTGCAGGCTGAGTGCAGAGTGCATGGGTGGTGAAAAGAACATTGTGCTAGAATCAGGGGAATGGGTCCCAAGTCTCTAATCTGTATGTACAACTAAGAGGCTGCATATACTTTACCTCCCAAGGGCCTTGCAGCTGCAAAATTCCTTAAGATAAAAACAAACAAACAAAAAACCCTAGCCCTGGACGGTTTGGCTCAGCGGTTAGAGCGTTGGCCTGCGGCCCAGAGTCCCGGGCTCGGGTCCTGCTAAGGGCGCGTACCTCGGTTGCAGTTTGTTCCCAGCCCTGGTTAGGGTCGTGTGGGTGGCAACCACTCGATGTGTTTCTCACGTTGATGTTTCTCTTTCTTCCTCCCTCTCTCCCTCCCGCTCTATCTGAAGATAAATGCAAAAAAACAAAACAAAATAAAACAAAAAAAACAGTAGTTGCTGCAGGTGAGGTGTCTTGAGTGCCATCACTGAGATCAGTCTAACAAACTAAACTTATTTCACTCCATAATGTTAAATATTCTGCTTAGTTTCTGCACTTCAGGAACAAAAAGAAAATAACCTAGAGGAATAATAAGCAGATGGGTCAAAATACTTGTTTTTAATTCCTTACTTTTCAGAGCTGCAAAATATTCAGTTCCCACAGCATTCTAAAAATTGAGAATTGCATCGTAGTATAAACACTGATAACAACTATAAAAATATGAGGGAGGCCCTGGCCAGTTTTGCTCAGTGGTTATAGTGTCAATACATGGACCAATGAGTCACAGGTTCAATTCCGGTCAAGAGCACGTACCTCGGATGCAGTTCTTCCCTGGCCTTGGTTAGGTTGTGCGGGGGAGCAAACGGTTGATGTGTCTCTCTCACATCTGTTTCGATGTCTCTCCCTCTCTCTCTTCCACTCTATCTGAAGATGAATGGAAAAATATCCTTGGGTGAGGATTTAAAAAAAAAATTTATATATGTGTATATAAAAGGGAGGACGTGAACAGGTAATATGTACAAATGAATATTGTCATGGCATAATGTAAAATTGTAAACAATATTTAAATAGTCAACTCTATAGAGACATGACAAAAAGTATTTCACTAGCAATTTATCCTTCCTAGCAAATGTATACCTTTCATTCAGAGTCAGGTACAGGCAGAGTTGGAACACACTGACCAATTTCTCTCCAATTATGTCCCTTCACCATATATATATATATATATATATTTTTTTTTTTTTTTCTTTATCCTCACCTAAGGACATTTTTGCATTTATCTTCAGATAGAGCGGGAGGAAGAGAGAGAGAGAGAAACATCGATGTGAGAGAGAGACACCAAGTGGTCGCCACCCACACTACCCCAACCGGGGCCAGGGACAAACGCATCCGAGGTATGTGCCCTTAGTGGGAACCGAACGTGGGACTCTCTGGTCCACAGGCCGACGCTCTAACCATAGAGCCAAACTAGCCAGGGCACAACATATTTTTGTAGGTCAAATGGGACTTTGGAAATAATAAAAATTTACTAATTAAAAGCTTCCTGAGCCCTGGCTGGTTTTGCTCAGTGGTTAGAGCGTTGGCCTGTGGTCTGGAGAGACCCGGGTTTGGTTCCTGCTGGGGGTATATACCTCAGCTGCAGTTTGTCCCCAGCCCTGGTTGGGTTGTATGGGTGGCAGCCACTCAATGTGTCCCTTTCACTTCGATGTTTCTCTCTCTCTCTCTCCCTCCCACTCTATCTGAACAAAAAATGGAAGAATGTCCTCGGGTGAGGATGAAAAAAAAAAAAAAAAAAAGCCTCCTGAAAATAACCTTCCCCATTTTCCTGGTTAGTGACAGTCCCCTCAAAAGATGACAGACACTGCCCAGCCAGTGTGGCTCAGTGGATTGAGCTTTATCCCACAGACTGAGAGGTCCTGGTTTGATTCCCAGTCAGGGCACATGCCCAGCTTGTGGGCTTGATCCCCAGGAGGGGGCATGCAGGAGGCAGCCAATCAATGTTTCTCTCTCATGTCTATGTTTCTATCTCTCTCTCCCTTCTTCTCTCTAACAACAATAAATATATATATATATATATTTACCATGTTTCCCTTTAAAAAAAAAAATGACACATACTGAAATGGCACATGGCCCTGGTTACCACTTTTCATGAGTTTCAGGCTCTGCTACCTTTCTTTAAGTTTATTTTACTTACTCAGACTCTTCTCGGTGCTCAGTATTATGTAAGACTCTTTTTTTCTACATGCCCTAAAGGATCTTTGAATAAATCCACAATTTATTGTTGTTTTTTTTTAATTTTTTTTTTTTTTTATCCTCACCCGAGGACATTTTTCCATTTTTTGTTCAGGTAGAGTGGGAGGGAGAGAGAGGAACAGAGAGAGAGAGAGAAACATCGATGTGAAAGGAACACATCGAGTGGCTGCCACCCGCACGACCAACCAGGGCCGGGGACAGACTGCAACCGAGGTACGCGCCCTTAGCGGGAACCGAACCCGGGTCTCTCAGGACCGCAGGCCGACGCTCTAACCGCTGAGCCAAACCGGCCAGGGCCACAATTTATTGTTTTTAAAAATATTTTTATTGGTTTATAGAAAGAGAGGAAGGGGGAGGGAGAGAGAGAAACATCAACTGGTCGCCTCCTGCATGCCGCCCCCCCACCGGGGACTGAGCTCGCAACCTGTGTATGTGTCCTGACTGGGAATCAAACCAGCAACCTCTTGGTCCATGGGTCAGTGCTCAACCACTGAGCCATACCAGCTGGGCTAAAGCAATAATTTATTAACCTTTGGCTTCAATGATGTGTAAATTTTCTAAGCCAGACCACCCAATAATCCAGTTGCTTTCCACAAATATTTAAATAAACTCACATTTAACAAATCAGGATATTTGATTTTGAAATTGGCCATTTACTAAAATAAGTAGCTTTAAACACCTATAAATTCTAATAAAGAAAAAAATGTCTTCCCTATGCAGTAATTCCACTTCTGGGAATACACTCAAAAAAACTGAAAGCAGGGTCTTAAGAGATACTTTCACACCCATGTTCATAGTAACATTATCTACAATAGCCAAAATGTGGAAGATATCCAAGTGTCCATCAACAGATAAATGGGATAAAAATAGTATATATATATATATATATATATACAATGGAATATTACTCAGCCTTAAAAAGGAAATTCTGACACACGCTATAACATGAACATACATGATGCTAAGTAAAAGAAACCAGTCACAGAAGGACAAAAACTATATGATTGTACTTATATAAGGTACCTAGAATAGTCAAATTCATAGAGACAAAATGTAGAATGGTGGTTGCCAGGGGCTGGGGGGAAAAAGAAATGGAAAGTTGTTGCTTATTTTTATTTTTATTTATTTATTTTTTATCCTCACCCAAGGACATTTTTTGCATTTATCTTCAGATAGAGTGGGAGGGAGAGAGGGAGGAAGAGAGAGAGAGAGAGAGAGAGAGAGAGAGAGAAACATCGATGTGTGAGAGACACATAGAGTGGTTGCCACCTACACGACCCCAACCGGGGTCGGGGACAAACTGCAACCGAGGTACATGCCCTTAGCGGGAACCGAACCCAGGTCTCTCTGGTCTGCGGACCAATGCTCTAACCGCTGAGCCAAACCAGCCAGGGCGGAAGTTGTTGTTTAAAGAGTACAGAGATTTACTTTTCCAAGAAGAAAGAGTTCTGGTGATTACATGCACAACAATATGAATGTACTTAACACTATTGAACTGCATACTTTAAATATGGTTAAGATGCTAAATTTTGTTATGTGTATTTTACCACAATTAAAAAAAAAAAATCTTCTCTATGTCCCAAAGCTCTTCTCTATGTCCCAAAGCTAAATTCTAGGGTTGAAAACCTTTTAGTTTTGAACTACTGCATTATCCATCATTTCAACATCACTTGGCAGGGTGAGAAGTCAAGTGAGACAAATAGCTCTTTTTGAGTACCTTATGCTGCTTAATGACAGGTGTGTTGTCTGAAATAATTAGCTTTTATAAAGGAATAGCCTTAACACTCCTCTGGAACTGGTTAGTGATCTCAGTTTCCCTTCATTAAGCTCTTGACAGCTCAATGTCCTCACATCTGTCACTGTTTGGGAGACTGATTCCAAGAACATAATTGCTTCAAGAACTAGGCAACAAATTTATTCTGGTTCATGGGACAGATTTGAACCCATCTGTTTTCTAATCAAAAGCCATATTTGAATCAGTTTTGTTCTATCACAGTACCGAAATAAAAGCAATATAATCATATGGTACTTTCTTCCTTTCTATCCATGTAGTATAGATGATTACGGGAAACACAAATCAATTAAAGGCATGAGAGCATCCTCAGACACAGGATCTCTGCAGACTAAGATATGCTACCTTTTCAATTTTCATCTGTTTGTTCTTTAGACCACTGTGATTATATTTACTCTAAGTGACATGGTTTCTTTCAGAATTACACAGGGGGAAAATATTCCCATATTGTAACTTACCGTAATCTTTTTTTAAGTTGTAAACTGTCATGGATGATCCTTTTAACAAACTCTAATTCGCCTCCTTCTGCCATAATCTCTGTGATACCTCCTGTATTTACCGAACTAGGTGGAGGTCTTCGAGGATTTCGAGAGTTTACTCCCTGAACAACAACAAAAAACACTGGTGAAAAATGTTATACCTTAAGACCAAGTCTTTGACTGTAATCTAGTTCTAAGTAAGAATGCTTAGACATAATTTTAGTTTCCAAATATCATGCTAGATTTAGGATTTAAAAATCACATAATCATTCTCCTTCCTCTCTCTCTAAAGATCAATAAATAAAAAATAAATAAAAAAATTAAAAAGATATTTCGTTCTGATGCTAGTAATACAGGGTGAGGCAAAAGGAGGTTTACAGTTGTTTGTATGGAAAACAATACAATAATTCATAAATAATACAAAAATAAACCCTGTTTCAGGGACTCACAGTGTAAACCTACTTTTGCCCCAACCTGTGGCACACATTGTATTTCTTCATCTGGATGCTGGCTCTATAGGAGCGTTCACTTTACAAAATCCACATTTTATACTTTCGGCATGTGTTCTTTTATATATATATATATGTATGTTGTGTCTCATATTGGGGGGGGAGGGATGTACTCCATGATATGCCTATTTTAGTTCTTATAATTTATCTGCATCAAAGACTAAAATTTAGATTTCTTAAATCCTGCTTCACTTTATGTTCCAATGGAGAATGTTGGCACTATTAATAAATTTCTGTCCAACTCCTGCCTCTCCCCATTCCCAAAATTTTAATCCACCTGGAATTTATTTTGTTCTGAGGTATGCAAGTGGTACTCTTAGGGTACCTAAGTGATTCTAAAAACAATGCACTCTGTCAAAGCTTTAAGCATATACACCCCCTCATTTCCTTCCAATAAACATTCTTACTTTCTATTAATAGGGAATTAACTAGATGAAGAAAAACAGGTTAAATCAGTATTTTATGGTACTCTTTTTAATAGGTTTTTTGTTTTTAATCCAATGTATCTCTTTTCATATTCATAAGCAAATATAATTTTCATTTGAAGTTACAAAGACTAAATTGGACATTAGTTTACTATCAAATGATAGGTGGCAGTAAAAACAGTTAACCTCTTCCCTCAGCCAATAAACTCACGCAAGAGTAAACTATGATCTAAATTTGTCCAATCAGAAGAAACCCACAAGTTGAATGGTTTGGGGATGAAAAGAGCTCTCTCTTCACTTGCTCCCCCTCTGCGAATATTACACTGCCACAGAAAACCAGCCTGAGAACAAAATCAAGGAAGAGGTAGGTCAGAGCCAAGAGAAACATGGAAACATTGAGCCTCAGCTTGGACACTACTATGACCCCCTTGATTGAATTGTTCCTAAATTTGACACTGCTGCTGAATTTCTCAGATATGTAAGCCAATAAACTTCCTTTCTTATAAGTCAATCTGAAGTGGGTTCATAGGGGCTTGATTACCAAAGCATCCTGATACAGCTTCCCAAACAAAAGGTGTTTTTTGCTTTTATTTTAGCAAACAAGGTAAACTTAGATGAATAAATTATTACTTTAAAGGAGAAGATAGTTTACCTGGGCTTCCAACTGATTGGCAAAAAAGGGAGGATTGCACATACAAAAGTCATAGATTATCTCAGATTCTTCTTTCAGGGCATCCATCAGGAGTGTCTTCTGTGGTACTTTTACCACTAGGAGAAGAAAAGAACTGTTAACCACTATGAATGCTGTGGTAGTTTTCAAATACATTCACAAATTCTTTGACACTAGACCCTTCAAAAGGTGGGCTTTTATTTGCCCTCTCCTTAAGTACAGGGTACACTCACTGACTTGCTTTCACTGACAGAATATGATGGAAGTGACAGACAGGGTGTCATTTCTGAGGCCAGGTCATAAAAAGTAATATGGCGTCTTCCTGTAAGGATAGTCATGTAGCCCTGAGAAGAGATCCACATGGCAATGAACTAAGGCTTCCTGCCAACAGCTGTGTGAGTGTACCATCCTGGAAGCAAATCTTTACCCCTAATCAATCCTTCAGATGATGGCAACCCCATGAAAGACTCTGAACCAGAACCACCCATCTAGGTCATGTCCAAATTCCTGACCCAGTGAAACTATGAGATAATAAATGTTTATTATCTAAAGCTGCTAGATTTTGTAATACAGAAATGGATAACTAAAAAATGCATTAATAATATCAGGATCGCCCAGGCCGGTTTGGCTCAGCGGTTAGAGCATCGGCCTGCGGTCTAGAGAGACCTGGGTTCAGTTCCCGCTAAGGGCACATACCTCGGTTGCAGTTTGTCCCCAGCCCTGGTTTGTCAGCCACTCAATATGTCCCTTTCACGTTGATGTTTCTCTCTCTCTCTCTCTCCCTCTCCCTCCCTCCCTTCCACTCTATCTGAACAAAAAGTGGGAGAATGTCCTCGGGTGAGGATAAAAAAATAATAATAATATCAGTTTCTCTTCTTACAAATGATATGTTGAACAATAGTAAGAAAAGCCTATTTCTTCCATAAAGACTTTATGGAATCTCTTTAATGAAAAACAAAGAAACAAATAAAAAAGAAAACACAAAACCCAGCCCTTTATATTATAAAATAAGCACAAAAATAAAAAGTAACTAATTATTAAGAGGATTCAACTATGTGTAGCACAGTTCCATATACTGAAATAAAAAGAAGACGGTATAGTTTAATCAACAGTGGGGTTTTCTTCCTTTTAAAATCTTGGTGACTAGGTTACTTCATATAGAGTTGATTCTCACTATTTGCAGTATATGAAGATATATTTATGTTCTATAAGCCATCACAACCACTGAAATAGTTAATACTGAACCATTGGCTCCAAGAAGAAACACTGCGGGTTAGGTTAATCACCAGCCTCTGGTCCAACATTTTCGTCAACCAATTAATATAAACTTTATTTTATGTATGTTTCTATTTAAAGAGATTTTATTTAGCCCTGGCCAGTTTGGCTCAGCGGTTGGAATGTCAGCCCGCGGACCAGAGAGCCCCGGGCTCGGTTTCCACTAAGGGCATGTACCTCGGTTGCAGTTTGTCCCCGGCCCCAGTGGGGTCGTGTGGGTGGCAACCACTCGATGTTTCTCTCTCTCTCTCTCTTCCTCCCTCTCTCCCTCCCACTCTATCTGAAGATAAATGCAAAAATGTCCTTGGATGGCCCTGGCTGGTTTGGCCCAGTGGTTAGAGCATCAGCCTATGGTCCAGAGAGACCTGGGTTTGGTTCCCACTAAGGGCACGTGCCTTGGTTGCGGTCTGTCCCCAGTCGTGCGGGAGGCAGCCACTCAATGTGTTTCTTTCACGTCAATGTTTCTCTCTCTCTCTTCCTCTCTCTCCCTCCTACACTATCTGAATAATAAGTGGGAAAATGTCCTCAGGTTAGGATAAAAAATAAAATAAAAAAATAAAGAGACTTTATTTAATATACATTGTTGATTCATTAACAATGAACTCAGTCAACAGCTTTGTCTGAACAAAGCTTATGTAACATGTATTTTCTCTATAGGGCACATAAGCACTTAAGCACTATATTTAGGGGCCATTTTAAACAGCCTTAATCGCCAAGAAAAAGCAAAAAAGTGCAAAAAAAATGCCACTAAATAGACCGTGAAAAGAACATTTGCTTACAGTATGAGAGCTGAAACAAGAAGGCAGAGCATCACCTTGTTCAACTTCAGCTGGGAACATACACATTGGGTGACTCAAATTTTTTGCCACTCTGTACATGTCTACAGATAACCACCAAAGTACCACAAGTATTATTTTAGGGTTAAAAAATAACCCCAATTAAGCAAATTTTAGCAAGTAGGCAAATTCACAGATACAGAATCCATAAATTATGAAGATTGACTATTATATTTCTTTCTGAATTCTGATGATAAAACAGCAAATCCAATGACCATGTACCAGATTTTTAAAATTACCAATGTTTGTATAGTAAAGCAAAAGATAATGAGATGCATTAAATTCGAAAGCATATTAAAAAACAAAGCTTAAAAGGAATATTTACTCCGTAGAGCTAACCTTTTATGAGATCAGATAAGTTATTCTGTTCCACATTTTTCTTTGCATAGTTGAAGCACATATCATCTACTTCTGTTGCAAGGAAATACCAGCCATTTAAGGTACTTCCAAGTAAAGGATAGATGCAGGATGCTCCAGTACCTAGGAAAATCAAAATTCAAAACATATTACACATACCTGAGGGAGAGGTGAAGACAATGAACAAAAACAAAAACATCACTCTCACCCTGGCCGGTTTTGCTCAGCAGTAAGAGCATTGGTCCACAAACCAGAGAGTCCCAGGTTTGGTTCCCACTAAAGGCATGTACATCGGTTGCAGTTTGTCCCCGGCCTGGCTGGGGTCGTGTGGGTGGCAACCACTCGATGCATCTCTCTCACATCAATGTTTCTCTCTCTCTCTTCCCCCCTTCTCTCCTTCTCTATCTGGAGATAAATGCAAAAATGTCCTCAGGTGAGGATAAAAACAAAACATCATTCTCTTCCTAGAATTCTTATAACCTTGACAGTGGCTACTGGGTTCTCTAGCTGTTTCATGTGTTAGTCTTACCTCATAATTAGATTCTGGTCTCTTAGAGGATAGAAACTTCATTGACCTTTTACATGACTGATTAACTGAAAATTGTCAAAACAATATAATTTGTAACCGGTCGATGTGGCTCAGTAGTTGACCGTCAACCCATGCACCAATAAGTCGCCGGTTCGATTCCCGGTCAGGGCACATGCCCAGGTTGTGGGCCCAATCCCCAGTGAGGGGCATGCAGGAGGTAGTCAATCGATGTTCTTCCTCATCGATGTTTCTCTCTCTCTCTCTCTCTCCCTTCCTCTCTCTCTAAAATCAATAAAAGAAAAAGAAAAAAGAAAAATAAACACTATAATTTGCTTTATAGAATGTCATTTTAAATCTCACACAAAACTTTACTTTCTTCAAAGAAATCAATGCTAATTGTTAAAACAGTACTAAAACAGATCAACAGACAACCTATTCCTCCAAAGCAACAACAAAAAATACATAATATATAAAAATTTTATTATATTAAATCGTCCAGTTCCCCACATTATCTGTGAGTTGCTACTTGAAGGAAACCAGGATTAAAAGGAAGAAAAAAAAAACACAAACTAAAGAGAAAATTCATTTCTTAGAAGTGGAGACATGGAAACACATTTGATCCAGATCTAAAACAATCACTGGCTTGTCCACCAAATTTCAAGGAACATATTTGGAGGCAAACACTCCAGGCAAAGATCACTCTTTGACAACAAGGATTTGGTCTTAAATTTGTATGTGTAACCTCTAACCATGGACCGGACTATCTACTAATCTCAAATATTGCTTTTACAACTATTGACTCATACTGGCCAATAAGACCTTAAAGAGAAGAAAAGCCAGTGTTTCTCCCAAAGGCCTAAGTAGTGAACCCGTAACAGCCACTCCAGGCCTGTTTTCCCCTGGTCACATCTGGCTGAAGTGGGCACAGGAAGAATGACGGTTAGAGCTACTCCTAACTCAGACTCATTTTATTGCTTCCTCATTAAATTTTTTGATCAGTCTAGCAAAAGACAGGACAACAGAACAAACATTTAAGCTCTCTGACAGTCACAGTGATCGCTAAACTTTCTACCATGTTTACCGAATAACATCCAGGCCCTGATGCTACTAGACCAACACCTCCCTGGAGATGTGTGGTGTGATGAGGGAAAGGATGGTAAGGGGGCTCAAGCTCCTCTCAGAGGCCACAGTTATTTAGCTCTGCTAGCCATTCTGGTAAGAGAGTCATTCAGAATAAGGAATTTCAAGGAGTACTTTCATCTCCGTGGGAAAAACAATAACCCAGACCAGATCCCAGGCTCTTGATTCTCATACAATTGTTTCACTCTTCATATTTCAATTTTAGTTAAAGGCAAAAAACAAAACAAAACTACACTTTTCTTCATTTGCCCAATAGTAAACACAGGTAAAAGGCCTGTCCTCCAATGTTTCTCAATTCTTAAGACCAAAGACTTGCATTCTAACACCCTAATCCCCTCAGAAAGCTAAATGACATTCTTAAATGGGTAAAAAACCCTTGTAATGATAAATAAAAATGGAAAGTGAATAATCATAGAATTAGAGCAAACTGATGGAGTCTGAGGGAAGAATTTATATAAAACCCTAATTAGAATGAATGTGATTTCAACACCAGAGCCCCTTATGAAAAGCTAAAATCCATTAACCTCCTATATCCCCAAGTGTTATTTTAGAAGGTTTAGGGCATAATTAAAATAAATTAGTACCAAATAGGCTTTCAAGCTTTTTCGTTATCTTTTTTTTTTTTAATCCTCACCCAAGGACATTTTTTTCCATTTTTTGTTCAGGTAGAGTGGGAGGGAGAGAGAGGAACAGAGAGAGAGAGAGAGAGAGAGAGAGAAACATCGATGTGAAAGGAACACATCAAGTGGCTGCCACCCACACAACCGATTAGGGCCGGGGACAAACTGCAACCGAGGTACGTGCCCTTACGGGAACCGAACCCGGGTCTCTCAGGACCGCAGGCTGACGCTCTAACCGCTGAGCCAAACCGGCCAGGGCGGCTTTCAAGCTTTTTAAGCTTTCTATAACCCATCAGCCATGAACAGGGCAGAAGCTTTTGTTAAACTCCATTATTTTTTAAATATGTTTTTATTGATTTCTTTTTAGAGAGGGAGGGACAAAGAGATAGAAACATTGACTGGCTGCCTCCTCATGGCCCATACTAAGGATCAAACCCACCATCTGGGCATGTGGCATGACTGGGAATTGAACCGGAACCTCTCAGTCTATGAGACGACACTCAATCCACTGAGCCACACTGGCCAGGCAAACCCCATTATTTTTATATAGTGGTTAGCTTATATGGGGTGTTCAGATTTTTGAATCATGTATTTATCAATATTCAACAATTTGTTTTTTGGATACCTACTATGTGCCAGAACCTTTGTTATGCCTTGGGGTATTACAGTAAGCAAAACAGCAATAGGCTCTGAACCTTGCAATCTATTGGTAGAGAAAGACATTAATCAATCAGATAAGTGAATGTGCAGTTAAAAACTAGAAAAAATGCCACCAAGGAAGAAACATGATTTTCTACAGCTCATCATCAAAGATCTTATCTTGTGCTAAAAGGTCAGAGAAGGCTTTCCTGATAAAATAAGGCCTATGTTAACAACTAGTATACATGAGACTTAATAAGGTAAAGGTGGGGAAGTTCCACACAGAGGGAACAAGGAGTAGAAAGGCCTGGAAGCATGATGCCTTCACAGAGAACTAAAGAAGAGTGTAGAAAACAAGGAAGACAAGCACATAAGATGAGGCTTAGTGAGGCCTAGAAAAGAGGGCAGAGATCAGACAATGGAAATTTTCATAGTCCAAGTCAAAGTTTTGAATGTTCATCACAGAAGCAACAGGAAGCCATTAAAGTAATAAAGATGTGATCAGATATGGGTTTCTGAAGAGTCGAACAGAGCGCAACAGACTGGATGAGGAGAGAGCAGTTGAGAAACTATTCTACAGACCAGGAGAGATGAGGGTGACTTGAATGGGGATGGTGGCAGTGGAGATGGAGAGAAGTAGATGATATAAGAAATATTTAAGAGAGAAAATCAACAAGAAATGGTGATAGACATTCTCTGGGAGGATAGGGAGAAGTAAAGATTAAGGATGACAAGGTGGATTGTGGTGGATTAACTGAAATAAGAAACAAATGAAGAGGACCAAGATTATTTTTGTTCTTTATAATAATTTTTTTTTTACTGATTTTAGAGACAGGAAGAGAGAGGGAAAGAGAAACATCGATCAGTTGCCTCCCATACGCACCCCAATGAAGGCTGGAACCTGAAACCTGGGTGTGTGTCCTGACCCGAAATCGAACAGGGGACTATCAACCACTGAGCCATACCAGCCAGGGCAAAGACCAAGAGTCAAAAGAAAGAATATGCCCAGACAGTGTGACTCAGTGGTTGAGCAACAACCCATGAACCAAGAGGTTGCCAGTTTGATTCCGGTCAGGGCACATGCCCACATTGTGGGCCTGATCCCCAGTTGGGGGCATGCAGGAGGCAGCCAATCAATGTTCTCTCTCATCGATGTTTCTCTCTTTCTCTCCCTCTCCCTTCCTCTCTGTCTCATATCAATAAAAAATAAAAAAACAAAAAGAAAGAATACAAGTCAGGTCTTAGACGTGGCAAAGTCTAAAATGTTTCTGAGATATTCAAATTTCTCATATATATGGGACTAGAAAAGTAATCTGAGTTGGAGAAATATATAAATTTGTAGGTTATTTTCATGGATGTGGAAAATAAAATCATAGATATGGATGAAATTGCCTAGTGGTAGTATGCCGAATAAGAAAAGATCTAAGGACTGAGCTTTAAGAATCTGTAAAACCTACTAGCCAGATACAGGAAAGTGGGCCTGAAAATGGGAGGAGAGAGACTACAAATGAAAGAGGAAAACCAGGAGTTTGGTGTCATGGAAGCCAATGGAGGAGAGTGTGCAAAGAGAAAGGAGGGGTCAATAAATGCTGGTAAAACGGTCATGTGAAATGAGGGCTGAAAATACATGCAAATGTCAAAGTTAAACTTTATTACTATCTAGAAATCATGTCTGCTAGTAACTAGACTATATGTTAAAATAGAGTCACAAAGCTTTTAACTGAATTTTTCTCACAGGGGACTGGTAAAGGCCACAGGTTAAAACAAAAAAATGTAACCCTATCAAATAAAAATGTTGGCTATGACAAACACGTATTATGTTTATAACTGTAAAACATACATTGGCTTCATTCCTTCTGTATATCCACTTATTCTCCTGAATGAATCAAATTGGACAGTTTTCTCCATTGTATATGTTTACAATTAAGAGAACATCTTATGCCCTGGCCAGTTTGGCTCAGCAGCTGGAGCATCGGCCTGCGGACCAGAGTCCCCGGGTTTGGTTCCCGCTGGGGGCATGTACCAAAAAAAAAGGGGGGGGGGGACATCTTACTTTAACTCAATGATTTTTTTTCTCCCTTTAATTTTGGATTAAACCTTTCTACCAATAATCATTCAAGAGGTTCCTGAAAGTATTCAGGTCCACAGGATCTTTTATCAAATGACCATCACCACAAAATCACAATATAGGGATTACGTTACTAATACCAAATAATTGAGAATAAAAATAATACCCAATAAACACAGATACCAACATGTAATCTGAAAAGCTAAGAAAACAAGAGCCTCACTTTCATGTTGCCTCTCTGACCCATCTGTTCCTTATCTGGTGCTGAGAACCCCTTCTCAAGAGAGAAATCAATGGCAGAGAACTCCAGATGTAGCAAATAAGAGCAGTAATAACCACAGCCAGATTCTTTCACACAAATACCAAGAGAATTTTACAAAGAATTCAACCTTGATCAATTTATAAAACTTATATGTAGTCAAAAGAAGAATTTAAAAAGAACATACCTATGTCAATTCCTCTTCGGAGAGTACTTTTGTCGGAGTCCTGATGACCGATCAGATCTTCTACCCAATGAATATAGTTGAGTCTCAAGGGAACTGTGGGAATTAGTCTCTCCAGCGGAATATCAATAGAAAGTCCAAAATCTTCCTTTAGAAGAGTACAAGTCAGAGCTCTGACTGCTTCAGGGTCTTTAAAATTAAGACTGTGGGGTGGAGAAAAAGACATAAAACTGGTTAATAAGATTTGCTATGCTGTCAAGTTCTATGAATTTCCTAACAGATCGCACATAAATAGCTGTGCAGAGTATTTATTACAGTGGCATCCACACAGCGTGTTTAACGCACTGACAGTATACAAATGGCAGTATAAATTTCCACCAACAACACTGCACATTTTCATACATGAAAGACAGAGGACAAGAATGCCTCTATTCCAATTCCTTCCTGCCTGGTGGACTCCTTACCTAGCTATGAGACTTAGGACAAGTTGAGAGAACTATTTCCTCAGCTATAAAATGGAGATAACAGTATCTGTATCATAGTGCTTCTGAGAGATAATCTTCAAAAGTACTTAGTATAATGCCGAAGACACAGTAACTATTTTAGAAATGCTGGCCATTTTTACTATTATGATTTGACATTAGCATTCTTTGAAAATTAAACTTAAAAGTAGAGCCCTGGCCCTGGCCGGTTTGGCTCAGTGGTTAGAGCGTCGGCCTGTGGTCCAGAGAGACCCGGGTTCGGTTCCCGCTAAGGGCGCGTACCTCGGTTGCAGTTTGTCCCCGGCCCTGGTCGGTCGTGCGGGTGGCAGCCACTCGATGTGTTCCTTTCGCATCAATGTTTCTCTCTCTCTCTCTCTCTGTTCCTCTCTCTCCCTCCCACTCTACCTGAACAAAAGAATGGAAAAATGTCCTCAGGTGAGGATAAAAAAAAAAAAAGTAGAGCCCTGGCCCGGCTGGTGTGGCTCAGTGGTTGAACGTGGACCCATGCACAAAAAAGATGCCAGTTGATTCCAGGTCAGGGCACAAATCTCCAGTGGGGAGCATGCAGGAAGCAGCCGACAGATGTTCTCTCTCATCCCTGTTTCCAGCTCTATCTCCCTCTTCCTTCCTCTCTCTCTAAAATCAATAAAGAAAAAAAAAAAGTAGAGCCCTGGCTCATTTGGCTCAGCAGTTAAGAGCGTCCGCCCACAGATCAGGAGGTCACTGATTCAATTCCAGTCAACGGTACGTACCTGGGTTGCAGATTAGGTCCCCAGCCCCAGTCAGGGTCATGCAGCAGGCAATAAACAAACAAAACGTTGGGAAAAAAATGTTTCACTCTCTGCTCTGGCTGGAGTGGCTCAGTTGGTTGGAACATTGTCCCATACACCAAAAGGTGTGGGCTCAATTCCCAGTCAGGGCACATACCAAGGTTTTGGGGTTCGTTCCCCAGTCAGGGTGCGTATAGGAGGCAATTGATCAATGTTCCTCTCTCACATTGATATTTTTCTCTCTCTCTCTCTCTCACACTAAAGAAAAAAATCAATGAAAATAGATCCTCAGGTGAGGGTTTTTAAAAAAATGTTTCACTCTCTGTATTTGTTAAGAGGCTGGGTAAAAATGGCAGTGGCAAAAACAGGAAAAAGTGAAAGGAATTAAGAGATATTTAGGAGGGAAAGTTTATAAGATTGACATATGAGGTGTCGGTGGATGCAGTTCCTATTAGTCTGGATTGTTCAACAGGATAGACAGTGCCATTCACTGAAAGTGGGAACTCGGGCACAGACCCATTTTTGAGGGGCAATATCATATATTTAAGCTGTATTTCAGACATCCAAATGGAGATATTAAATAAGCAGTGATCTCTGGGTACAGAGCTCAGAAAACTGGTCTGGAGAAACAAATGTATAAGTGATCTGCTAAAAACAAGTGAGGCCTGGCATAGAGAGTGATTAAAGAAAAAGCACAAAGTGAAAAGAAGAGCTTAACAATAAGCCTTGACGAATGTGTAGAGGAAGCTACACAACAAGACAAAACGGTAGAAGAACACCAGAAACTGGTGCAGTGCCAAAGAAGCCAAGAGAAGAGGGATTCCACGAAGAACAGTGTGAGCAGAGTGGCCCATTTCTCAGAAGTCAACTGAGAACTGAAACTGGATTTAGTGACACAAGATCACTGGAGACCTTTTCAGGAGCAGCTCTGATGGTGGTAGAATTAAAAACTATCCTGGTATGCCCTGGCCGGTTTGGCTCAGCGGTTGGAGCGTCGGCCTGAGGTACGGAGAGACCCGGGTTTGGTTCCCGCTAAGGGCATGTACTTCGGATGCAGTTTGTCCCCGGCCCTGGTTGGTTGTGCGGGTGGCAGCCACTCGATGTGTCCCTTCACATCGATGTTTCTCTCTCTCTCTTCCTCTCTCTCCCTCCCGCTCTATCTGAACAAAAAAAATGGAAAAATGTCCTCGGGTGAGGATTAAAAATAAATAAATAAATAAAATTTCTTAAAAAAAAAAAAAAAACTATCCTGGTATGAGTGAAAGATTAAGGATATGAAAAAAGGGAGACAGTAAAAACAGACAATTCTTCAAGAAGTTGAGTTATGCAAAGGAGAAGAGAAATGCGGCTGTGAAAGTCTGGAGAGGTCTTGTTAATAATATATATTTTCCCCCTTTATTGATTTGAGAGAGAGAAAAAGTGAGAGGGAGAGAGAGAAAGAAACATCAATGAGAGAGAACATCAATTAGCCGCCTCCTGCATGCCCCTCACTGGGGATTGGGCCCACAACCTGGGCATGTGGCCTGAGCTCGAATCGAACCAGTGGCATCTTGATGTATGGTTCGACACTCAACCACTGAACCATACCAGCCGGATGTTAATAATATCTTAATGGAAGACTTAAACGTGTTTAAAAGGCAGTGGAAAATCACAAAGGCCATATATATAAAAAATGTCCAATTTCTATAGAGGAGGAAAGAAATGGGGAGTGACTGCTTAATGGGTATTAGGTTCTTTTTGGGGTGATGAAAATGCTCGGGAATTAGATGGTGGTGATGTTTGCACAACCTCGTAAATATACAACTGAACTGTATACTTATCTTTTTAATCCTCACCCGAGGACATTTTTGCATTTATCTTCAGATAGAGCGGGAGGGAGAAAAGGAGGAAGAGAGAGAGAGAAACATCAATGTGAGAGAGACACATTGAGTGGCTGCCACCCACATGACCCCAGCCAGGGCCAGGGACAAACTGCAACTGAGGTACGTACCCTTAGCGGGAACCAAACCTGGAACTCTCTGGTCCCCGGGGCCGATGCTCTAACAGCTGAGCCAAACCGGCCAGGGCTGAAGAGTATATTTTAAAATGGTAGTTTTGTGGTATATATATATTACATTTCTTTCTTTTTTAAGTTAAAGGAGAGAAACTAGTTGAGAGGGATTAAATATTTAAGAGAAGGAATATTGAACTGTGTAAAGTTCCTGAGATGAGGGGAGGATAACAGATCCAAAGCACAGATAGTAATTAATTAAATTAGAATATAATAGTAGTAGTAGTAATAATAATAATAATACTATTTGGTTGTTGAACAGAACCAAAAGCCAGACCCATGGTCTTCCACTGTGTTTTCCACCAACTCATTCCTCTCTACAACTGAGTTTAAGAATTTTTAACCCTGGCCGGTTTGGCTCAGCGGTTAGAGCATCGGCCTGCGGTCCGGAGAGACCCGGGTACGGTTCCCGCTAAGGGCATGTACCTCGGTTGCAGTTTGTCCCCGGCCCTGGTTGGTCGTGCGGGTGGCAGCCACTCGATGTGTCTCTTTCACATCGATGTTTCTCTCTCCCTCTCTCTTCCTCTCCCTCCCACTCTATCTGTGCAAAAAATGGAAAAATGTCCTCAGGTGAGGATAAAAAAAAAAAGAAAAAAAAAAAAAAAGAATTTTTAAAAAAACATTAACACCTCCATGGGTTAAATAAGCAATTAGATAGTAATATACAAAAGCAAAGATGCTGGAAGAGCAGAAATAACCATTATTGATAACCCTAAATTAATAAAAAAAAACACCAAAATCTTACTTGTAAAATATTAAGAAACTACCTGAATTAATCTCTTACATACAGATCCCCAAGCTAGCTAAAGAGCAAATAATAGGAAAAACAAAAACAAAAAACTGGTCATCCAAACACCTCTTTACCCTTTCCAAGTACAGTTGAGAGTATAGCAATTTTCTAGCAAAGCCCAGTGACTTACCCTAAATTCAGGAAAACTTAAAAAAAGAAAAAAAATGTCCTGGGGATGAGGGGTGGGGATGAAAGAGGGCATAGAGGGAATCAATGGTGGTGGAAAATATAAAATAAAATAGAGAGACAAAAAAGAAGTCCAACAGTAAGAGAAACAGTTAAATTTGTTCTGTATTACAAAAAAATTAAGAACGACTTAAAAGTAAACAACAGTGAAAGTAAGTGCACAATAGTGAGTTGGGTGAAAAGTTATATAGCATATCCAAACAAGAGAATACTCTGTAATCATTAAAAGGAAAAAGACTGGGCTGATCCACATATTCTTGTATAAAGAGGGTTCCTTGACTTTGTTGTTGTTGTAGTTAATCCTCACCCAAAGCTATTTTTCCATTGATTTTTAGACAGAATAAAAGGGGGAGGGGAAGAGAGAAAGAGGGAAACATTTATTGGGTGCCTCCCACATGCTTGGAATGCGCCTGGGGATTGAACCTGCAATCCAGGTTTGTGCCCTTGACTGGGAATCGAATCTGAGACCCTTTTGGTCCATGCATGGGCTGACATTAATAGCTGAGCCAAATCGGTCAGGGCAAGGGTTCCTTGATTTTAAAAAAGCCACAAGTTTAAGTAAAAGCATATATATGTACACGATGATCACATTCTTATAAAAATAAAACAAAAATAAAGCAAAAAAGACCTTATATATTTATATTACATGCATAGAAAAGAATGGAAAGGTTACAACCACCTCTGAATGTGAAAATGAGTGGGTAGATTCGTAATGGAGACTTTTATTCTCATATTTTTGTATTATCTAAATATGTTTTATATAGTATCACGTTAATAATAGTAATTTTTAACTATATAGAAAATGTTTATAATGTAATGTCATGAAGTGGTGGTAAAAATAAGTCCTATGATTATATCTATATCAAAATTACAACCACAAAAATTACTATATAAGGACAAGAGCTTAAATACAAATTGATTTTTT